TGCGAGCGGGGGAGCCGATGTCGCCCCTTATACGCATACGCACGCCACTCCAGAGGGTGCCAGAGCCAGTCCCCTATAGATACCACTGAGGGAAAAACTTCTCAAAGAACAACAGTTACAGAAGGTAACCGTCTTTTACACGTTAGACGGTGTCGTTATACACAGGAAAGTCCTTGCGCTGGCATATTGCTGCTGCTGCTGCCTGAGCTTCCCAGAAAAGGAAACTTTCAGTGTGATAGTGTGCAGCAGGAGGATGGTTGAGATAGTAAATCCACAGAAGTCAGGGATTTCAAAATTCTGGTTCTCTCAACAGGCCACATTACACACTAACAAAAACCACCAGATACAGCATTCAGAAAGATGCTCTCAGATGAAAGCCATTATTTGGATTTTGGATTCTCAGGCTTAATACCACAATAACTGTGTGTGTTGCACATATCTCATGAATGCATACATGCACACCCTTCTTTTTGCATGTAATAATGTGAGTGCAAAGGAGACAAGCATCTTCTTTGCTTTGCAAAGTTGTTGTTTCTGTTCCAGACTGACCTTGCTGAGTGAGTGAGTTACCCATATAGTTTTTCAGACTCTGTAGACTCCAATAAATATTTTTCCAATTTAATTTTTTTTTTACAGTTATAAACCAAACAAGCTAAAAGATTCTTCAGAGCCTAGAGAGGGGAAAAAGGCTGGAAAGTGTAATGAAGGGTTTGAACTGATCTCCACAACCTGCAGACCTGCCATCAAGTGATAGCCAGCCTCCAAGACAAATTTGGGGGCTTTTTAAAAGGCAGTATGTTGTAGGCACCTGATAAATAGAGAAATACAAGAACAAGGTGTGGAAACTACTTCCATGAACAGTTAGGTTTACAATGGTGATTCGCGTTAGGAGTGCAACTTCTAGTCTATTCGAACTAAAGGACAAAATTCTTTCCTGGGATAGTTGCTGTGAAAGTCAGTTAAATCATGGGAAGAATGCCTTAGAAGGGTGCACCTGGGCTGTATAACCTAGAAGAGGCGTTCATTGCCTTGTAAGCAGTACTATGCTCGGCCTATGCGACGTAGTCTTTGTGCTAGGAGGCTGTGTCTAAGACCTTCCTAACTACTGGTTTTTGCTAGCAAAGTTAGGCCAGCTGGTGTGTATGGGAGATAACTTTGTTGAAACCATTCATAAAGCTATTTGAGATTCAGTAGCAGCTTGGGCATGAAAAGTGACCTGGGTGGGTTGTCAATGATAAAACTACCTGCTAGGTCTGGTCTCACTAGGTACAGGGATATAGACAAGAAGGTATAGAGCATCAGTCTGCAGAAACTGATGTTGAATGCTGTTAAGTGGACCCGTAAAAGTATCTCTTATCTAGTTCCAAAATGTGCTGCATTTTCATGCCAGTGGGAGATTGTCTTTAAATCTCCCTTTTGTTAATGTTCTTCTAACTCCTCATCTGATCATTATTAGATGGTGGGCACACTTGCTCTCTCCTGGCCCCCACCTGCTTGTCCCACTTTTGTATCCATCTGCTCTTCATGTCCTTTCCCCTTTACCTTTACATCTCCATCTTCTCTTGAGGAGTTTGTGGACCATGTTACTTCAACCCTCACCATTTTAATTGTGGGAATTGGCCCTCTGAGAATGAAGGAAATGAGAGCTGGCTCCCACTGACTATTGATGAGGTTAGCTTGATTATTCAGTGTCTTTGTCTTACCTCTTGCTCTGTTGTTTCACACTTTCCCACAGAAGCGTATAGCAAAGCTCAAACTGCGAGCGCTCTCTTCAGAAATGCAGGCCCAACAGGGTGCTGACTTCCTACCTTTCAGAAGCCTGTATCTGGCCATGTGCAGAACTCACGAGGGATTGAGCTGTGAACTCTGTTCCCCACCACCAGCCATGGCCTCTGTGCTCCTGATATATTTTCCTCAGCCAGCATGTGGAGCTGGTTCAAAGGTCCCTTAGTTCAGCAGAACCTGATCTGATCCTGACCGCAAAGTGGCAGCATGCCCAAGGTGAGCCATGCTGCCCTCCTCCTGGTGTGTCTCCTGCCTCTTTCCGACCATCCCCAGGGGACTGGTACCATCTGTGAACTGGAATAACACACTCCGTGTAGGGAGAGCTGCTCTTCACGTTCAGAGTTTGGGTCATGCCAGCTGTGGTTCTGCCCCCTTTTTCCAGAAAGTTTCTGAGTTTCCAGAAAACATGTGGAGCTGCTGGAACATGCCCTATTGGCTGCGGTGTCCAGACTGCTGGTGTGTCTAACTGAAGCTGCTGTGTTTTCTTTCCCTTTTGCTTCTGTCCCGAATCTGAGTTTGGCCCTTGCTGTGTAGGATCAAAGAAGCTCCGTCTCCAAGGCTGTCAGTCGGGCACCTCTCCCCAGCACTAAAAATTCACTTCAGGGAAACAAACTCACTGTAGTTCTGGGATTAGTTGTTGACCTCGCAGTCCGTGTCCCCGTCCCCAAGGCCAGGTTCTGTCGTGTTCAGTCTCATCACTCTCCTGAAGTGCCCAATTCCTTGAGCAAAGAGGCTGCTTCCATCCCATCCGAAATGGTTGCACTGCGAAGGTGGTTGAGAGAGGAGTGGCTGGTCCCCGGGGACTTCCAGAAGGGCTCTCTGCACATTTCATTCTTTTAGGACGTTTAGCCCAGCTTCCGATCAGCTCATAGCCTTGAAACTGCTCTGATGAGCAGCAGCGTATTGCTTATCCTCCATATTTTCTGTCGAGACTGGGCATATTTTATTCTTGTAGCTTTTGACGTTGCTGGCCCTGACCTTTGGAGTGTTTTATTGCTTTTACCTGGTGCTGTTAGCATTAGCAGCATTCTGTTTATCCCAGGGCTTCCTCATAATCCATCGTAGCCCAAGTTACTCCCCAGTTTCCCAAAACACCCTATTAGACCCTTTCTTGTTCTCAGCATGCCTGCTGCCATTAAGCAAAACTGTTTGTGCCTCTGCTTGACACTGTCCTGTGTACACTGATGATTTCCACAAGTACTTCTCAGTCCCTGCAGATTTCACGAGAGGTATCTCTGGATTAGACAGTTGTTGTTTTCAAGGTTTCTTGGATTAATATGGTGAAAACTGAGCTGCTTCTGATTGATTCAGTGCAGAGGTTTTCCTGGCGCTGGTTTTGTCTGGCAGTTATTCTCTTTCTTTCATTTGTGCACGTGGGATACCGGATTTCTGTGGATTTTTATTCGTTTGAGGTGCACACTAAGATACTTTGCTGCCACCTCCAGAAATATCACCAGATTGAGACCTGAGCAGCCTAGGCTGGCTGCTGAACCCTTAGTCCACGTCTTTCTTTCATCCTGAAGTGCTCTTGCAGTTTATTTGCAGCTCCCCTAGATACAATTCTTCAGTGTCTGCAACAGCTACCGAATTCACAGGCTAGACTGCACTATGGATGTAAGTTCTTCCATCGCCCCCTTCAGTAGCTTCTGATAAAGCTGGGAGTTGATATTTTAGGGTTTTCTTAGTTATACTTATGAGCTTTTCATTCCTTTGGCAACAGCTCACCTCAACCTCCAAATGACTTCATTCAACCTCCACATGACTTGAATCCATTGTTGTGTGTGTGTGTGTGTGTATGTGTGTGTTCGAACCTCAGCTTCTACATCTTATTCTGCAAACTGTCTTCCTTTGTGTGCCAGTGGCCTTTGTTCTCTTGTGTGTTAGAACTTGGGACTCAAGGACCAAGTCAGAAGAAAACTCACTATTTTATATTTAGATTTTATTGGGAATTTGCACAGCACCCAGAGCTAATACATGTTCCAGGGGCTAGGTCACACAGTGAGTTAAGGCACCAGCCTTCTATGTCTATAGAGCAAGGACCCATGTGTAAATCACAGAATCATAGAACTGGAAGGGACCTCGAGAGATCATCTAGTCCAGTCCCCTGCACTCAAGGCAGGACCAAGTATTATCTAGACCATCCCTGACATGTGTTTGTCCAATCTGCTCTTAAAAATCCCCAATGATGGAGATTCCACAACCTCCCTAGATCATTTATTCCAGTGCTTAACCACCCTGACTGGAAGTTTTTCCTAATGTCCAACCTAAACTGCCCTTGCTGCAATTTAAGTCCATTGCTTCTTGTCCTGTCCTCAGAGGTTAAGAAGAACAATTTTTCTCCCTCTTCCTTGTAACAACTTTTTTATGTACCCAAAAACTGTTATTTCCCCTCTGTCTTCTCTTCTCCAGACTAAACAAACCTAGTGTTTTCAATCTTCCCTCATAGGTCATGTTTTCTAGACCTTTAATTATTTTTGTTGCTCTCCTCTGGACTCTCTTCAATTTGTCCACACCTTTCCTGAAATGTGGCACCCAGAACTGGATACAATACTCCAGTTGAGGCCTAATCAGCGCGGAGTAGAGCGGAAGAATTACTTCTCATGTCTTGCTTACAACACTCCTGCTAATACATCCCAGAATGATGTTCCCTTTTTTTGTAACAGTGTTACACTGTTGACTCATATTTAGCATGTGATCCACTATGACCCCCAGATCCCTTTCCGCAGTGCTCCTTCCTAGGCAGTCTTGTCTTTTAGATTGTAAGCTCTTTGGGGGCAGAGACTCATTTAACTCATGCCTAGCACAATGGGGCCCAACCTGGCTTAGGCCGCTAGGCACTCCCACAGTATAAATGTTAAAAAAATAATAAACTGAAAATCTCTCTCCCTACTACAAGAGTGTTTATCCTGTACCACAGCAAGACAAGAGGCTGTAAGAGTCAAAGAAAAATAATCAGGCAGTGCTTACATCCAGACGTACTCAGACATTGGGAGAAAAGATGGGACATTCATTAGCAGTGTCTCGTTATTAGATTTGACTGGAAAAAGCTGTTAGTTCCCATGGTGTGTTTATATTGTTCTAGGAACATTTCCAAAACTAAGAAGCTAATGAGATTCTGATTTATTTTTCGGGAAATTTAAAAGAAAAAAAGTTTACTCTGAAAAGCAGAGAGACTCGACTATCGTGGCTAAATCTGTTTCTCTCCCATTTCCCAGGGCCACCCATTCATCATGCAGTACAATGATGGGAATGCAGAAGTTGTCTCCATGTGGGTGTGCAGGATGCTGGAGGAGAGACGGTCTCACCAGGGCCCTCAGTGAGCAGCAAGGAAGCACAGCAGGGGTGAGGTGAAAGAGAACCCGGGACTAGCAAAAGGAAAACCAGCCCACGTTGCACTGTCAAGAGAGATGGCATATTTCACGGAAAAAATATTTTTAGAAGCATCAACAAAACCTTTCAGGATATTTGCTGCTGCTTTTTCTGACTTTAGGGCATTTTCTCCACACATTTCCTTTGTTGCTGACTGATTCAATGTCCTCAAATTGTCTTCAATCAAACTGTACACAGCCTTAAAGCATCTATAGTATATATATATTTTGTTATTGAGTGTACTGTATATTTCTTGGCTCCAGACTGTTTTTTAACCCTTAGTCTTTTGCTCTTGTAAAAATGACACGTTGACTGTACAACGAAGTTTCTACGCAAGTATAGACTGTCTTTGGCCGCAGACATCAAGGATGTGTTCCGGGTTTTTTTAATTGTATTTGTTTAATAAAGCACGACGCTGGCATTCACCATCCTTATGAGAGGTATCATCTTGGAAGAATAAAAATGCCGCAAGTGTATCAACAGTCATGCTGTGCAAATGTCATGGATTTTATTTGTGGCTATTGCAGGGTAAAACTCCAACATGGGATCAAATCCTGCCTTTGAAGGCACTGGGAACCATACTTGTATCCCTGGGCAAATTGAGCTGTTATGTTTTTTTATATGATTAACATGCTATATCTCTACGGTATAGTTTCCAGTAATCTGCCCCGTCTCAACTTAAATGTCCCAAGTCATAGGGCTTCAATCACCTCCACTGGGAAATTCTATCCCAACCTAAAGTCTATTCCTGGATATAGCTCCTGTTGCACACTATAATCCAAACACTGTCTTCTCCACACCCCTGGTCAGCTCCTTCCCAATTTCCCGATACCCCAGCCTGCTCTACCCCATCCCCCACCAGAACAGTGTCCCCAAACCCAGCAACTGCAGTCTCTCTCCAGAAGTTGAGAGGGAGTTTGCAGTGGCTGGAAGAAAGATCAGTGTTGTGGTCTGGGAAGGTAGGGCAGAGCCTGCTGGAGCTTGGGATGGCGGGATAAGTAGTTTCAGAGGAGTGGGCGTTTGAAGAAGTGTTGTGCTGAGGGAGGTGAAGTCCCCTCGCAGAATTGTCTCCCGGTAATGGACACCTCGTCACTTGGGACATTTGACAGGAGGCTGATCAAACCACTGGGAAATGTCCTGAACAATCCCGCACAGGGCCCCAGTGGGCTGGAGAAAAACCAAGGAGTTCTAAGTGCCTTCTATCGCCACCTTACCGAACATATGAACATGAAGTGTTGTTTGTATTAGACTGGTCATGGATAGATTGGCATTATTCTAACAGGTTAAAAATTGAGAAACCGAAAAAAAATTGCCTTTAGTCCATATTAATGTATTATAAGGTTCCTGGGAGACCTTTTGAATAAATAATATAAGCAAATAGACTGTTTCATGAGTGTTGGTGGTGTGTAGAAATCCTGTAAAGCGGACGATAAGCTGGGAATCCTGCATAAACTCGTTGTGTAATTGAAAACACACACGCTGCTTGCTGATAGATGTAAACTTGGGGCATTCTGCACCATTCAGGTGCCTCCCATCCTGCCATTTTGCTTTAAAAGCATTTCTTGGCATTCCTGAAAATGTAGAAATGGTAATTAACTCCTCTGTTCCTTTAGTCATCCCTTTCCCATAGTGCAACATTTGAATATTGTTGTTCTTTGTATCCTAGTAGCTCCTAGCAGACCCAGTCTGGACCCTGTTGTGTTAGGCGCTATACAAAAAAGTGATGAAAACACAGGCCCTGCCCCAGCGAGCTGACAACCTAGGTTTCTGACAAGATCCAACAGCACTGTGGGGGTTGGGTGGACAAGATATTAAAAGTAGCACCTCGGAGTTTTGCATAATAAGAAGTAGGCTTGGCAGATTTCAGTTGTTATAATTTTGACTGATATTGATGTTTTTAAGCATTTTTTTCTATTTTGATCTATTTAAATCTTCACAGTTGCAGTATATTATGAGTTGTCAGACTATGGGGGGGGGGGCTGACAATAGTTACTAAATAACAGTAGATGCTGAGATTCCAAACGTTGTTAAAGCTTTATAACCATTAAATCACAAATCGTCAACATCACATGTCAAAATATACAAAGGAAATAGCCTGAAATCACACTCCACGGAATTCTCCAGCTGCATTGTTCTTACTTTGCCTAGCTGTAAATTATCTATTACCGATGGAAATGGATTTTCGTTGGTCTGTGTGTGCGTACAGTGAATTGGATGTTTATCAACATTTACCGACGATGATCTAATCCTCCCAACCCCAGTAATAAGCAGTATCCTCAGACTGCCACATGCCTGTCCGTCGTCGAATGGCGAAGCTCATTGTTACATGAAATGTTCTGTAGGCATCACGCAGCAGTCGGTCTCTTTATAGACCTAGTACAAATATGGTATATTATGCCCTACTTTTTCATTACTACTATTTAAAGAACAAGAGCTATCACGTTGACTGTTACCTCAAAGGAAAGCTGAATAATTACCGTATATATAGTGTGTGCTTCTTATGACTATGGTTCCAGTTTACATTTTCACAACAGATTGGCTCATCTTTAATCAATCTTTATATTAAAATGCTGGTTCTAAAAACACACTCACTTCGTTCACATTAATGCATAGAGAAGGCTCTTAAAAGAAGGACTCTGAGTGTTTTATTATAATAAATTAAGCATGTACGCTGGCGTTTTCTTGTGCTAAAACTAAAATGTCACTAGAAGAACTGAAGTGGATAATAATAGATGAAGCCCCTTGTAGTGAAAAATTTCTGCTGAACAGTTGCAAATCCTAAATGTTACTTTGGAGGTAGTCTGGAAAATACTTTGTTTCCTTCCTTGGAGGTATCATTTATCTTGTTTTGAAGTATAGAGATTGCAGGCATGAACTTATAGACTAAAGTTTGTCTTAATTGCTCCGGTGTCACAACCTTCCTGGCAGATAACAGTACAATGAATGAGTCAATGTGACCAATACCTTCAGGTCCTTTTTCTAAAGTGAGACAAATTTCTTTCCTTTGAGCCAACCAGCCTATAGGCAGCTCTTTCGTTTATTTATCTCCCAACAGTTTACATTAGCTTGCTCTGGATAAAAAGTCTCTCTCAGATTTAGTTAAAAAGTCAGTAAAAACAAGGCTTTTTCTCTTGCTTTCATCTGGGGGAGTGGGGAGGATTTCAACCTGCACATTCATACTTCTGATATTAACTGATGTAACTTTGAAAAGTCTCGTTGTTAACACTGACAGATAGTGTTATGTTTCTTTGAGATTTGTCATTAACCTTGCAGTCTTTCTGGTTATACTTAATCAACCTGACAATAATTGTGGAAGTTTTGGATCATTGTCATCTTTCCCTCTCCAGATCCTTGAATTCAGAGTTTCCCCAAATAACATGGGGGACTGGAGTAGATGCAAGGAATTGGTAATAGTATATGGAACCATTCACTTATGAGACACTGCTTCCTGTCTGACCCACTATGGGGAGTTGCTGAAAGCTGTTCCCATCCGGTGGCTGTGGAATGGCCTATAGGAAAGGAGTAAAGTCCTCAGAGACGCACGTCCACTTCACAAAGCACCACCACAACTGATCTCTGCAGAGATACCCAGGATTGAATAGGCATAGGGACTTGATTCCCCTCTCACCTTAATGATGGGCCTTCTAGATTACGACAGAGGAAGTATGGGGTAGTGGTTATGACGTTAGCTAGCACTCCAATGACCTGGGTTCTATTCCCTGCTCTACCTCAGACTTTGGGCAAGTACTTAAGCCATGTCTACACTACAGCCTCTGCAGCTGTAGCGCCCTAATGTAGATGCTTCCTACATCGATAGAGTGGGGGGTTTCCATTGATGCAGTTAATCCAGCTCTGTGAGAGGCAGTAGCTAGATCGCCAGAAGAATCCTTCCATCAGCTGAGCAGCATCTAGTCCGGGTGTTAGGTCAGTCTAACTATGGCGCTCAGGATGCAACATTGAGCAACGTAGCTAGGCTGGTCTAAGTCTTAGGTGTAGACCAGGCCTGAGTGTCTCTCTGCCTCGGTTCCCCATCGATAAAAACGGGGAGAACAGTGCTTCCCTGTTCCTGTTGTGATGTGAAGATACATCCATTAAAGATTGATAAAGCCATTACCGATTGTGAGGCACTCAGGTACTACAGCACCCTGTAAGTCGCCTAGACAGAAGGAACGAGGCACGTTCTCCGCACTGAGGGAAATTTGTGCTGCTGCTCTATTTGTTCTATTAAACTGAGAATGAAATCCAGTCTCTGGCACTTCTCACACATACATAATTAGAAATTACTTTGATATTCCTGCTGCTAAGCAAATTAGCCCAAAGCAGCAACGCCTTCAAAACTTCAATTTAACTTCATCTCTCCCTCCACTCTAATGAAAAGGAGATGACGAACATGCAGTTAGCTTTCCCTGCTCTCCTCCCTATCAGGTGGGCTGGAAATGTTGAATGTTCTAAGGGGTCAGGCTTAATGGCATTAAGACTCCAGTTCTGCACCCTTTCATTCCTGCCCTGACTTTATGAAACCTGGATTGTGACCTGAGTTCCAAATTCTAAGAGATCTGTCATGTGAAAGCAGAAATGTTTGGAACAAGTTCAGCACCATCACAACCTCCAGCAGTTCATCCCTCTCCTCAGAAGATACCAAAAGAGTCCATCAGAAGTAAGCTAAAGAATTAAAAGAAAACCTATGGAATGTGTGCACCGGTTTCTCTCACAACCATAGGAAGGAAGGAAACGGCATCTAGGTGCTTATCCCACAAAATGACTTAATCAGGATTTCCACAGAAAACTTGCATCACTTTTATTCAGGTATATATGTCTCAGATCGCTGTAATAACCCAAATTTGTCATTCCATCCATAGCTTGTTGCTGTTAGAACCAGTTGAAAGTGAGAGAAAAAATTCCACCAAAAAAAAAAATCCAGAAAAAAAGATGATAGTAGAAATTTTTACTCTCTTTTTTTAATCAGATTTTCAGATGTTATGTTTTTCATACCAGCTGTAGTCATTACCAGTCAAAGCTAATCCTCTGAGGGAAACTAGCATTAGTTTTATCTTAAATGCATTGATATTTGCAGTACAGAATTAGAAAATACTTGAGTTTCTCGTATTCCTTAACAAACTCTGTCCTGCTGTCAGTTTTCCAAAGGCAAAGTGTCATTCTTTGTTTGCTCACTAGTAGCTTGCAAGGCTCTTTGTGCGTGTGTTTATTGGCAAAGAAAACAGAATTGGGGAAATACACCAAGCAGTTGTTTCACAAATGCAGGAACGCCACCTGCCAGAGAAATGCCCCCTTCTACTTCCTATGCTCACTTTTTCTTAAGTGACAAGTAATGACCAATAATGTGCTAGCATTGATAACCGAGCAGTCACTAAAAAAGTCACTGCAGAGCTTTTCAGCCTTAGCATGCACTCCCTGACATTAAGAGGTTTAAACAAA